TCGAAGGATACTAGAAGTTCGGTCTTACCTCTGGACTGTGGAAAACGAAGGTGTCGGAGACAGCCTCGTCTTCTTCCGAGGGCAAGCCAAACTTCTGTCCCCAGGTTCCCGACTCCACGGCCCTCCGATATTGCTCTTCCAGTCGAGAACACATGGCTTCAGAAAAGGGTAGAACTCGTTGCTCATTCTGGGGTCTAAAGAACGCAGCAGTCAAAAACGTATTGGTGAATAAAAATATGAGATCGCTGAGTATGTAAATGTCTTCCTCTAGCTTTGGTGACTAGCATCTTACCGGGAAGCTTTTTGCAAAAGAGCTTCCTGCAAACAGGTGTTCAGTCTGTACACATTGTTAATCACACTGACGCAGATATTAACTTATATATTATGGCTATTGTCGTTATTTCAGTAGAACAGTTATGCAAATAAAATAACAAAATGCCCTTCGAAATGTTTTAACAGACACTTAAAATGCTACCCTTAGTATCACGTTACTTTTTACAGGCCCCTCATTATATTGCGACAACTCCTTTCATATAGTTGAATAAAGATTGTTTGGTTTATATGGCAGGTTTTTAAAACATTACGTGTTCAATGTCGGCGGTCTATGTGTTAGTTATCGACCCCCCATCGCTCGACGGACTGTGCTGCACGTGCTGGACCAAAAAGGAGGTCAGACAGGTTCGCGGCACGTGATTATCGGTCTCCGCTGACTCTGCAAGAAACCATAACTGCTGTCGTACACGTGCATGTATTACGCCTTAAAGGCGGATCCTCACGCCGCGTTCGCCAATCTCCTGACTACTTGACAGAGGATCGGACATAAGACTGGGGCAAAGAGGATTGGGCCGACACTGGAGAATCCAATCTCCTGGTAAATAATAATATTTTCTTCACAACAATAAATCTATTACAAGAAAATATCAGTCGCCGTTTAGAAGGATGTCAACGGACGGAAGAGCAGGCTGTAATGGTTCCTCCTTAATACAGTACGGCTCAGAATCCGTGCAACATGCCGATATTTGCGGAAGATTGACACTCACTCGCCAATCGGTATTGAGTAGGGTTGAAATACTGATTATCGTGTAGTCTATTCTCAATCTATTTCAGTCTCGATAGGATAGCCGCTTTTTAACTAATTTCTTTTTGATCGCTATCAAAATGTACGTACCGTAAAAAATGGTCACTTAAATAGCTTATCACTGATTCTCACTGCCTTTAAAAATTCAAATATATTTTATGGAAAAAAATGCACGAAAAAATTCTTGTACTCATTTAGTAGCAAATTACGCCTTCTTTTATACACTTAAAGAAAGGAAATCTCCTTCGGTTTCAGAAAAATTCCTAATTAGGAGATTTTTTACGATTGTAAGGTGTTCATCATTCATAATACATCGTATCCGTAAATTTATTAGTGCTGTATACAGCTAACAAGTACGTGGCACGCGTAGACGGGTCGTTTAGTCGTTTAAGTCGATGCGTTCGCGCTCACCTCTACTTGACTTTACATTGGCCTACAGTAGAAGCCTGGCCGCTGAAAGGTG